TGAGTTCAACTGGGAAGAATTTCACAGGGTTGGATTTATCCCAGGACCTCCAACCAACATTTTGGTTTTCCCTTCAGATGCACAGGTGTAATTGATGCCAGGGCTTCTCATTTACGGGGAAGGGAGGCAGAGAAATCCCCTGGGGCTGTATCAGTGTCTTCCATGTATGAGATTTGGGTCCGTGGGTTGCTGGATGGTCAGTGTGAGGCTCCAGTGAGGCTGTCAGGAATCTGCAGGTGTCAGGGCACACCGAATGATGAATTATTGAATCCTGCGTGGAGCAAGAAGACACAGGGCGCTGTGGGGACAGCATCCCCATCCCTCTCCTCCCGAGCAGGTGGAGCGGGCAGCAGCCCCGTGTCTCCCACTCGCTGACCTCCAACAGGACGCGGTGATTTACAAGGCCAAGGGCCAGCAGGAAATTCCGACCTCCGCCCCCCCGGAGCAGCTCCGGGACTGACTCAGAGCCGCTCCTGAGTCACCGCGGCTGCGACCCTGCCGAGCCCCGCTCGCCATCCCCTGGGTCCGCCTGGAATTCACTGGTGGTGCTGGAGGAGGAAGTGTGGGGGAAAAAATTAAAAAGGGAAGAAAAAAAAAAAAAAGCCCGATTTGGTTAATGCTATTCTTTAATGAACAACTTATGGCAGGTGCCTGGCAGCTTATGATAATTAACGGGGTATTTGCTGGGATCAGAAAATGCGCTGAGCTGAACAAGTCTCTCATCTGTCCTTGGCTCGCTGCAGCGGGATGGGGTCATTGGCTGTCTGGCTGCAGATAATAAATCAAAGGGCTGGAGAAACTGCAGGAGAGAGGGCATGAACTGCCCGAACATTCGGCTCATTGTGGCAGCGAGCGCGGAGCTTTCCCAGCCACATTTTCACTTGTGTCCAGCCCGGCCATTCCCTGCGGGCTGTCCGAGCCAACAGAGGTCACTTTACCTTGCCTGAACAATGGCTTTGCTATAGCGGGTGCCAGCTCTGGAGCAGCCAGAGCGAGCTTTAAGGGCTGCCAGGGAGAGTGGAGCAGGCTGGTGTGCTCGGGGCAGGATTTGGGATGCTCGGGGATGCTGCCGTGGTGGGATCAGCTGATCCCCGGGTGGGGATGGAGCTCTCAGACGAGCAGAGTGGCTGAGGAGGAAACAGCCAGGAGCTGGGGGAGTGGAGAAGGGATGACTTTCCTCTGATGTCAAAAATCCCATCATTCAGTGCTCGCCGTGAAAAAGGCGAGAGGAGAAGAATGTGGATAGAAGGAGAGAGGGAGAAAAAATGAAGGGAAAGGACAGGCTCGTTCTTCTCCCTGTAGGCTAAGCTTGCCCACCCTGGCGGGATGGAGAAATGAGGCTGGTCCCGAGTGCCCAGCCCTGCAGAGCCTTGCGAGCCCCAGGGATTGTTCCCAACCCCATCCCGATCTGGACTTGGTTAGTACTGCCTTGGTGTGAATAATCAGGGAGATAAAAATGGTCCAGAAACTTACAGCACTTTCCACAGGGCTCTCTCTGCCTTAGCTTTTATTTCTGGCAGTTTGAATTGCCTGCTCAGTGTGTTCGTGCCTGATCCTCGCAGGATTTCTGCAGGGCTGGGAGAAAGGATCAGGGCTGGATGGAAGTGAAGAAGCAGCAGAGCTGGAGCTGCCCTGGAGCTCTGTCCAGGTTCCTATTTCTTCCTTCCGAGGGGCTGAATATCAAAAAGGTGCCAGGTTTTGTCCTTCATGCATTTTGCTGTGTGCCTGTAATTAGTTTCTCAACTGAAAAAAAAAACAAAACCCTTTCTCAATTGGGGGGAAAAAAAAAAAAAGATAAACCAACCCCCCACATTTTTGGCAATGGGTTGTTTTTCTAAGCAATTAATTAAGAGCTGATTTTAAAAGAATTTGAATGAATCCTTCCACTCTGTGTCAAGCATGGGTTTTGTATTAATCACTTCACTACTCGCTGGCTGAATAAGGACTGAAAAAAGATGCAGGGAGTAAAAATTTCCCCAGGAAATGAATCAGACGAGGAACCTTTGCCTCATCTCGCCTCCTCCAAGTGAAGAAAGAGAGGATTTTGTCAATGGTGGGTCAGTTTACAAACGTGTCCTTCGCAGGGTGAGTCAGAGCCAGTGATGCATTTCACAGCAATGCAGCTGCAAGCAGCGCTGCATGGCAGCTGCAATAAACAGGGGTGAATCCTCGTGCCCAGGACAGCCAGGAGGATGAGAATGCAACCTGGCAGATCTGCTTGTGTGCCAGCCAGCTCTCGCTGCCGCTGAAACCAGCGTCAAAATTCCCCCTGGCGTCCATGGGAGCAGGGAAATCCCTCGGGATTTGGGATTTCCATTTGGTAAGGGAGAAATGTGGATTTTTGTAAGGTGGAGCTGGTGGAGGATGCAGTTTTTTCACTGGAATTTTCAGTGGGATCCAGTGTCCAGTCAAAGGTGGGTGCTCCCAGGTGGGCATCACCCCTTTGGGATAAAAATCAGGAGCAGGTGGGAAGCGCCGCTGTCTCTGGAGTTGGCATTACAAGTTTGGAGTTTTCCAAAATGCTGGACAAATATTTATGCTTTTTCCCCCCCCAAGCACCAGCCTTTGTTAGTGTTAGAGCTGTTAAGGGATGTGCCAAAGCACCATCAAGATTTGTTGTTGATGTTTTGGTTGTGGGCGAGATAATGACATTTAGCTGAGAGTCTGAGCTGAAATATGAAAATTTTAATTCTTTTTCCCTGGTGCCACTTTCCCCCGTGTTTCCCGAGACTAAACCTTGTTAAGTGTGTTAGTCCTTGTGGGTTTGGGGTTGTTTTAGTGGGTTTTCTGTAGCTTTCCAGGCTGTAAAAGTGTTTAGGCAAGAGGGTGAAATATTTGGTGAGATCACAATTTATCCTGGCCGAGATTGGTACCCTGGAGTGGCTGAGCTGCTGCAGGTCTTTCTTTGGGATAATGGTCATCCTTGGAAAGATCTGTAATTAAACCTCGATTTAATGTGTGTTCATCAGTGCAGTTTTTCAGCCTCTTGGCTCAAAGACCATCCCAGTCTGCAAATATCAGCAAAGTGGCAACAGAGGGGCAAAAAAAAAAAAAAAAAAAAAAAAAGCTTGGGAAGGAGAGTGGCAGACCTGGAGTGAAATTTAAAGTTTTGAAGTGCTTGGCCAGCACTTTAACCAGGAGTCCTCTTCTCTTTTTAAACGTTTCCTCTTAGAAGAAGAGCCAGAGGCTCTTGATTATCCATGCAAAACAGGCCAGGCTTTGATTTGTAAGGTTTTGTCTGCCACACTTTTAAACGGATGAAGCTTAATTTAGATCCCCGCAAGAAAATCAAAATTGGGCGGCGGAGACACAGCCCCACTTTCCCTCTCTTAACCCGAGGCACCATTCCCCACCTTTCCCCTTTTTCTCCTCCCAAAAAAATAAAAAAAAAAAAAAACCACCCAAAAATAAATTTAAAAAAAACCCCAAAAATCTGATTTTGAACGGAGCACATTTGGGGGATAGGGGAACAATTAAAGCAATGATGTGTGTGCTTCAAGGAGAAAAGCGAGCTGCGGTAGCTGTGCTTTGACAGGTCTTTGGAGGATTTCAAGGAAGTTACACCCACTTCATTCATGATAATCGGCTGTTTAACGCCGAGCAGCTCAGTGTTATGAATGAAAAGGGAGCGTGTTTTGGCTTGCAGAACAACTCGCAAATCTAATGCTTCACTCGTCAAATAACCAGCCACGTTCACCCAAAAAAAAGGAAAAAAAAATTTAAAAAAAATCTTGACTTCATTCTTGAAATTAGTGGGGGAAAAAATTCCTGCAACACCTAAAGCTGCATCTTCTTTTTCTGTAGGGATCCAAAAATGTTTTGCTTCCCTTTGCCATATTTGTAACTCTTTGTGGCTGGATGAATTGGGGGAGGAAATGCAGCCTCTGCTGGACTTTGGTGCAGCTAAAGCCAGGTGCTGGTGGCTTTTTGTGCCTTTGATCAGAACTGAATTGTTGGATTTCCCATCATTTTGGGGGCAAAAAGAAAACAGAAGGGATGAAAGGAAGGAATAAGTTTTGATTCGGATGGATTGCAGAGGTTCTGTGGGCTCTGTGCTGTGCCTGAGCAGAGTAATTGATTAGGAATAAATTGATTTTTTGGGGTATTGAAGCTGGATTTGTGGAATATCCTGATTTCCTGGAGCTGCCAGCTGCCTTTATCCCTTCTGCTTGATAGAGTTGGATGTCACCTGGGAGGTTGTTGGAGGTCAGGATATACTGAATTAAAGACAAAAATACTTCGAGGGAGCCTTTTTACCTTCCCTTATTCCAATTCTCGGGAATAAAATGGCTTTTTAAAAATTCTTTGGGAATAAAATTGCTTTTTTTGGAGGAACAACGTGCCCATCCATGGCACTGCCTCCTCCGGCAGGAGGGAAGGGATCTGTGCCTGGGCAGGAAGGAATGCAGCTCCTTTGATCCATAAACACCCACAGGTGCTTGCAAAACGTTTGTCATGGAGCTGAGCTGAATGTTTATTAATTGGAGTTTAGGAAGGAGCGTGTGCAATCGTTTCCCTCGTCTGGGTTTGGGGTAAAGTGCCAGCTGGGATGGTTTAAATTCGAGCAGAGTTTGACAGAGCTTTAATTGGTGCATCCATCGAGGGATGTGCTGTGCTTGTGGAGATGACCTCTCCCTGAAAGGGGAAGTTTTGCTCAAAAGAAGCCCAAAAAAACCAATCAGTTGTAGAAAACACAATTCCAGCTGATGATCTTCATGCTGGGTCAGCAGCTGGGAGCCTCAGATGGAAGGTGGGAAAACAAATTTCCCTCGTTGCTTTAGCACTGAAATAATTCCAGGAGCAGCGTTTGGCTCAAGGCAGGATCTCACTGCAGCCCTTTCCACTTAAAAGTGGAGGAAAAGGGATTTTAGGCAAAAAGGGCAAAAAGGGCTGAAGGCAAAGGTGGATTGGATGGAGCCTGGGGTGGGAGGGAGGGTGGCCATCACTTCTTCATCTCCTACACAATAAATTAACCCCTTCTTTCTTCTCTTCCTCCACAGGGCCGTGTCTGGGGGAAACCAAGAACTGAGCAGATCCTTTTTCTTATTTCCACTCCTTTTCAGGGTGAGTGAATCCTCTTGTCTCCACTCCTGCTGTCGTGTCCAAGTGTGACTTCAGGTTCAGGGGAAAATCTCTCTTTTCCTAATCTTTGCACTTATAACACAGAGCTTAATTTAGCAGCAGTCAGGCAGAACATTTGGATTTTGTCATCCATTTCCAAAACTATTGTTGGCTTCTCATTCCTTTGTTTCCACACACCAGCACCCCCAACTCGTTTCAGATTTACATTTTCTTGGAGGTGCCAAAAGATAAGGTAATGCCAACTTGATGATTAATTAGCTAATACTTTCCTCTGCCCTGAGATGGAAAGCCTTTATCTGAGTCACCTATTAATTATTATTTTATTTATTGCTGCATGGGTGCATTTGAAGGGACTCAAGTTCTTCCCTCCTGAGAAATTCGGGCAGGAATTTATAGGAACAGGATGAAAGCCGAAGGAACTCCAACTTGTTATCAGAAAATAAGTCTTAATGTTGAGATCAGGACACTTTTTAATCTATATTTTGCAAGCCCTGAGCAATATCAGAGTCTCATTGTCAAAATCACTGGAAAGACAAAGTTCTGAGGCTTTCCAGTGTCCTTAGAGATGCAAAAATCAATAAAAAGTTTGGTTTTCCAGAGGCTGTGGGACTGGATTAGCTATTCCTAAGCTCAGCCTACTTGCCTGAGCTTGGAAAAACTGTGGGAAAAACTCACCTGGGGCACTTCCAACGTGGAAGTTTCCAGAAGCTTGGTGCTGGTGCACATCCCTTTGTTTTGGGAGCTGGGAAGAGGCTTCAGACATCTCCTCCCAAGTCAGAATCTTTCCAGTGGGATATCTGGAATTCCAGCTGGAGCTCAGACCAAGGGCATGGTTATTCAAGGTGCCATAAATGCATTAACACAGGAGCAGGGACGTGGAGAAATTTAATTTAATAACGATAAAAAAGGGGCAAACTGGGGTTGGATAACGAGGATGAGTTTATTGGTGGGTGAGCTTGGTTACCTCATTCCCCTGAGATCATGATGAGGAATGAGGTAAGTGCAGATTTTGTGGCACTGAGAGAACCCTGCCCGTGGGCAGGAATGAATGCTGTGCACGGGAGGGGTGCTGCACACCCCAGGGACAGTCCAGGAGGGCAGGAAAAGCTGCAGAGTCCCAGGAGCTCTGTGCAAAAGGTGAACCACCGTGAAAAAACCTCTGTGTTCCCTGTGAACCACCCAGGAAATACCTCTGGGGGTCTGAAACTGTGAGGGAAGAATTTATTCTTAATATCCAATCTTATAATAAAAATATCCAATCTAAGCCCCCTCCCAGTTTGAAGCCATTCCCCCTTGAACAACCCCATTTTTTGGGGGATGGTTCCAAGCCATTCCTCCTTGAACAATCCCATTTTTGGGGATGGTTCCAAGCCATTCCCCCTTGAACAACCCCATTTTTGGGGATGGTTCCAGGCCATTCCTCCTTGAACAATCCCATTTGTGGGGATGGTTCCAAGCCATTCCCCCTTGAACAACCCCATTTTGGGGGATGGTTCCAAGCCATTCCCCCTTGAACAACCCCATTTTTTGGGGGATGGTTCCAAGCCATTCCTCCTTGAACATTTCCATTTTTTGGGGATGGTTCAAGGCAAAGATTTTTTGATCTGTTTGAGCATTGAAATCCAGCTGTCCCTCCTTCCCCACTCCTGGATGCCCTAAAAGAGGTGCCACAGGTCCCCATGTGCAAGTTAAACATCACAGTGAGGGACACCTGTGGCTGCAGACACCATGATATTATGGTCTGTGAGCTCTGTGTGCTCCTGGAATTTCCATCCCAGCTTTGTCCTGCCCAAATCCAGGTCCAAATGCCTTTTTTTTTGGGTTTGTTTTTGTTTTTGTTTTTTTTTTTGGCCTTAATTAAGTCCTGGCCTTGATTTTGTTGTCACTTGTTAATCTGCTGAAATCAGAGCCTGAATTAGAATGCCTGAATTAGGAGTTTTTAAGTTAGAATTAAAACTCAGAGCCTAAATTAGAAGTTTTATTCTGAATTAGAGTAAAACTCCCCTTAACTTCAGTGGGACTAATCTGTTCCTGGGGTTGTTTTAAGGAGAAGGGAAGAAGGGGGATCAGTGGGAGAATTGGGAAGTTAAGAGGCAAAAATCTGCCCCAAAAAGGAATCTTTCTCCCTCATACCATTTTTTTTTCTCTCAGGTTTAACATAAAATCTTTGCCTTCCCAAAGCAAAACAGAACAGTGATAGGGGGAATGGCTTCAAACTGAAACAATTGGTTTAGATTGGATAATAGGGAGAAATTCTTCTCTGGGAGGGTGGTGAATGCATGGAATGGATTTCCCAGAGAAGCTTCCCTGGATCCCTGGAAGTGCCCAAGGCCAGGATGGACGGGGCTTGGAGCAGCCTGGGATGGTGGAAGGTGTCCTTTTATAGGACAGAAATATTTCTAATATCATATTCTAATTTCTATCTAATAATCTAATAAAATATTTCTAATATTATGCCCACGGCATGGAATTAGAGGAGCTTTAAACTCCCTTCCAAGCCCAGCCATGCTGGGATTTGATGGAAATTCAGCTCTCAGGGCTGGGTTTGGCAGGACGAGGGAGGAGTGGGAGCAGCTCCCTTCCCTCACGTGGCTCAGCATTCCGTGTGGTCACCTCAGATGTGGGACAGGCTGCTCTGCTCCCTCCCTTCCTGCAGGAAATCGGAGCCCAGGCAGGCTGCAGGAGTGCCTGCTGAATTCCAGCCTGCACTGGTGCTGCTCTGCTCTGCATGAATGGCCAAGTACTGACAGAGGCAGCTCTCACTGCAGGCATTCCCTTCCTGCTTCCTCCTAGGAAGGCTTGGACTGCTGAATTGTTTCATTCCAGCCCTTATTTTTAATGAGATTATAGCTTTGAGGGCTGATGGTGCATTTTAATTGCTGATTTTTTAAACAGGAGCAGAGCCCAGGTTTCCCCTTTGCCAGGTGAGTGCCAAAGGCAGCACATCAGTGAGCAATTTTCAGTGCACTAAATCCATTTTTCCCCCACTGAAAACGTGACAATTCCATCTTTCTTTCCCCACAGCTTTAGCATGAGCTGTGGTGAGTCAGGACAGCTGGCAGCTGGGTGTTGGAGGCACTGAGATGGGCAGCACATCCTTCTCTTTTCCTTGCTCTTTTCCCACTGCTCTGCTGCAGAAATGGATCTTTTTCTAGGACTTTCTATGTGATTTGCCATGGTCACTGCATTTTATGCACAGGAATGGAGTCTGACACTTTGGGAATTTCCCTCCTGGGCCCCTCAGATCCCCAGATTTTTATGTGAGGAATCCTGGATCATTTTGTGGAGGGAGCAGATTTCTCACTGAGTGAATTTGGCCTGCAGGAGCTGCAGCCCCTGTGAGGTTCTTGTGGACCTTGTGAGCTGCAGAAAAGGTGAGGGCAGTGCACTGATAGCAGTTCTCTCTCTTCCACACCCAGAGGGAATTCCTAGCCGAGGCAAAGGAGCACTCGTGGAGCAGTTTCCTAATTTAGAGCAGTTGCTGGATGTTGAAATCTTGTGCCAGCAGGGCAATGTCCAGCTCTAAATTTGGAGGGCATTAAGCTGGGCTCTGTGTCCTGGTGCCTTGGCATGGGGGTGCCTCTCCTGGGTTGTGGAGCAGCTGGGGAAGGCAGGGAGGTCAGAGCCACTGGAGGTGACAAAAAGCAAATGTCATTTGAGGCTGAGGCTGGGGGGAAGGCACAGGGATGCCTGGGCAGGGCACAGAGCCCTCAGCTCGTGTGAGGTCAGGGAGCTGCAGAGAGAAGGGAAAACAAAGAGGAATGAAGTGAAAACAGAGAGGAACGAGGAGCAAAGTGTCCAAAAATTTGGAAGCAGCTGGTGGAGGAAGGTGCTGTCCCACAGGTAGATGGGGTTTAGTCAATGTTTTCCTCCCCAGAGAGGTTTTAGCTTTTCAGAGGGGTCTTTACCAGGAGGGAGAGGTGGAAATAGCAGCTCTGCGTCCTGCCTCTCCCTCCTTCCTGAGGGATTTACCTCTCCAGCTCTGTGCTCAGGGTTTCTTTGGGCACAGAACTGAAGGCAGGAGGGGCTCAAGGTTTCTTTGGGCACAGAACTGAAGGCAGGAGGGGCTCAAGGTTTCTCTGAGCCCAGAACTGAAGGCAGGAGAGGCTCAAGGTTTCTCTGAGCCCCTGGCTGTGCTGCTGGCAGTGCTCTGCTCCTTTCCATCCCCATTTTCTGTTCCATTTGCTGCCGCCCTTCCCTCCCTCAGCACCCTCCCCACACAATGGGCTCCTTTCTGTGGTGAGTCCCCTGCTCTGCACAGACATTGCTGGCTCCTCTCTTTGGGCTGCCTTTCAATGGGGAGAAGAGGGGAAAGCATTCCTTGTTCCCAGTGAAAACCAGCACTGGCAGCCTGGGTTATTTTGTCGGACGTGTGGCTTTAAGTGACGCCTTTGCCATCTGTTCCGTCTGCTAATTATGAATGCAAAACAAACGGAGCCCACAATTGCTTCATTTAGAATAAGAGAGATGGCAGTGACCAAAACAGTTTTATTTTGGTGTCAGATGCTCTTTTTATTTCTCCTGTCTCTTCCTAATCTAAAGCAGGGCTGGAGCTCTTCTCCCTCTCCCAGTTTGCAGCAGTGGAGGCTGCTCTGACAAACGGGACCAACTTCTTCATGCTCAGCCTTTAGGGCCTTGAAGGGACAATCCCACAAGAGCAAGGAAAGAGAAAAAAAACTTCATTTTCAACTGATTGCAGCTTTTCTGCTTTCAGTTCAGTTGTGCTGGTCTCAGAGCTGAGAAGGGACAATCAGGGGACCTGCAGAGAGTTTGCCAGCAGCGTGTGAAGCCCTTCCCCAGCCTGTTCCACCCCTGGTGTGGAACCACAGAGGAGTTTTGCAGCCAGCCTGGGACAGGATGGGGGGAAGGAATGCTGCTCTCTGCTGGGGCTGTGTCCAGCAGCCCAGGAAATGTGGATTTTTAGCTTTTGGTTGTGAGTGAATCATCCCCAAGGTTGGGGATCCATCTCCAAGGAGCCCCCTCCATTTATTCACTGGGTGCTGTCAGCTCTTTAACATTCCCAAAATTGCTGCTGACTTACTCCAAACCATGGGGAACCCTGGCAGCACAGATTGATGTCACCTAGCTTGGGAAAATGGACACTCTATTCGTCCTCCTTCTTTCCCTCCCCAGCCATCACTCTTGCTGTGATAATCAACATGCATTTAATTGTATTTTTTGGCTGGCTCTGTGTTGAAGGGTGCTGGTCTGGCATTGTTTTTATGCCTGCTAAAGCAATATACTGGACAGTAGACCTCCCTCTTTCCTCCCCCAAATCTCCACAAAAACTTGTCAGTTTGTGCTTAAAGATTCTTTTAAAATTATTCTCACTACCATCAAGTTTTCCTAAAGTTCCCATTCAATTTTTTTCCCCCCAGTTGGAAAGGAATGGCAGGGGACACTCTACCAGTGAGAAATTGTATCTGAAAAGTTCTCCCTCCCCATTTCCAGCTCCCAGCAAACTTCTCTAGCCCAGCTGAGGCAGAAATACATGGAGGGCTCTGTCATGAAATGCCCAAATCTGAGATCCCAAACTGGGCTGGGTCCCTCCAGCCCTGAGCAGCCAGATCAGGATCCTGCCCCAGCCTGGAGGCCACCTCAGCTGTAAAAATGAGGGGAAATGATTCAGGAGCTCCCAGCCCGAGGGTTAAAGGTTCTGGTGGTGGCCCAGGCCTGAGGGATGATGTTGTGGTTTAAACATTTGGACTGGAACCAAGAGATGTGAGAGAAATTCCAGGCTCTGATGGTCACTTCCTCTGTCAGCTCCTGGAAATCTCTGCTGCTCCTTCTGCTCCCATCCTCTGCCTGGGACCCCTTCAGCAGGGAATGGAACTGATAATCCAGGTAATTTTCTGAAATCCCTCAATTCAGGGTTAAAACAGTGTCCCATCCCCATGTGCCTACAAAGTGGAAGCAGTTTAAAGTTGGAAATTAAGGCCAGAAAGCTCAGGAAGTTTGAAGGGCATGGATGAATGCCCTTTCCTCAGCCTGGTGCCACTGAGGGACAGCCTGGCTCAGTGACTGGGGGGTGGCAATGCCAGGAAATGAAGGCAGGGCACGTTTTTCCCTGGCTTTGGTTAGATCCCCAAAGAATGAGAGTCCATGAGCAATGCTGAAAGGATCAACGTGAAGAAGAATTAATTTTGTGCCTCCAAAGCTGTATTTAGTAAGTCATGGTCATTGAAATCCACTTAATTGGATAAGTTCTTTGCCAGTGTCACAGCCTGATGGATGAAGGTTTGTCCTCCTGGTACCTGACATGTCAGGAGGGAAGGGAAGAAGGAAGGACAATTTCTGGATGCTTTCTTTAGGTGGGTCAACATCTATTTTTTGCTAAATTAATTTGTAGTTGAAGGTTTGTGTGTCTAGAAGGGTTTACAGGATCAGCTGCCCTGGTTTGGTGTTAAGATTTGCCTTTGGTTTCTTTATCACAGCTTTAATTTCAAGCTGGAAGAAGGTAAATTTTCTTTTCTCTGTGGGATTTCTAGAACAGGGCAAATAAAGGTCAAAATTTCTTGCTAGAAATCCTTGACAGGTGTGAAAAATTGAGTCCAAACCATTGATAACACGTGATTCTCTTCAGAACTTGATGAGTTTAACTGCTCTGGGACAGAGAGTCAGCTTTTATTCCAAATATCAGCAGCCTTGGGTCAAATTTGGGCTGTTGCTTGTCAGGAATGGAAATTCTGCATATCCTGGTGGTGCTTCATGGCCCATCTGAGTGTTTGCAGCTTCAGGCATCACTCCTGCTCTGCCTCAGCTTGAGCCCAGAGCTGCAGAATTTGGGTCTCGTGCTTCTTTGCCCAAATTGTGGTACCTGTAACAAAAAAACAACAACAAAAAAGGTGTGATTTACCTGCTGTCGGAAGAGATTGGAGAAAATCTCATTTTCTTGGTGATGAGGCAATAAAAACCCCCGTGGCCAGCAGCAGCAAGGTGGAGTTTCCATGAGGAAAACTGCAGAAGGGAAAAGGCTCCATAAATTAAGTGACCTGAGCTGCATTTATACCACATTATAAGAACACTTAAGTGGAGTTTTCTCCTTCTTTTGTGGGGATTTATCTGCTCTGTGGATGCTTCCAAACAATTTTATTATTTCCTTGATATTATTATTTCCTAGATATTATTTTTTCCTAGATAACTTGGGATTTCTTTTCCTTTCATTGGGATGCACCAGCTTGTTCCATGGGGCAGGTATTATCCCCAAAGATTTGCTGGAGGGTCAGCAACTCTCAGCCCCCCTGCAAGGATTTTATCTGTCCTTTGAATTCCCCTGTTCAAATGCACGGGTAATGACACTTGTAATGATGATAAAATGGGAGTGTGGCTGCGTGGAGTAACATTTAAAAATAATGATACACCTCTGAAGTAGGTCTTATAAAAGGAAATCTTAAATAGCTCCGGGGAAACAGATGCTTTGGGGGACTTGTGGATAAAAATAGTGGCTTCCAATTGGCAACCAAAACAAAAATGGAGCCCCACTCATGAACCTCAGCAGCAGAAATTCCTCTGAACACCTCAGGGCCCAGAAGTGGGAAGGTGTGAAAGGCACCTGCAGTGGGTTTAGCATCTTTTTGCCTCTTCTGCTTTTCAGCACAGAATCATGGAATGGTTTTAGGTGGGAAGGACATTCAGGATCATCCAGCTCCACCCTGACACCTTCTGCCATCCCAGGCTGCTCCAGCCTGGCCTTGGGCACTGCCAGGGATCCAGGGGCAGCTCTGGGCACCTGTGCCAGGGCCTGCCCACCCTCCCAGGGGAGAATGGCTTCCCAAAATCCCAGCTAAACCTCCTCTCTGTCAGCTCAAAGTGATTTTTCTTGCTATTTCTCATTTTTCTCTCCGTAGTGGTGCCTTTCACGTGCTCTGTGCAGTCAGGAGCTTTGCCCAGTGCTCCTTTTTGGGGCTGCTCAGGGCTTGGTGATTTTCTAGGATGAGAAAGGGCTGAGCCAGCCCCAGCAGAGTTGGAGGTTTCTGCTTTTCAGGGTGAGGCTTTCAAAGGAGAGCTGCAGGTGGCAGGGAATGTTTTCCTGCTCACCTGGGCTGGTTGAAGGGCTCAGGCAGCTCCCCCAGGGCACAGAGCTGTGTGGGCAGCCCCAGTCCAGCTCAGTGTCTGCTCAGGTACCAATCTCACTGATTTTCGGGTAAAATACCTGGGATTTCATGGACATGAGGAGCTGTGGCTCGATCCCGTGTCCTGGCTCTGCTGTGGAAGTGAAAACCTCCTTCAACGACCCCTCAAACCTCATTCCAGCTGTTTGTCCTTCATCAGCCTCCCCGACCCCTCAAACCTCATTCCAGCTGTTTCTTGATGGGTAGATCTCAAGGCAGGTGCCTCAACCCCACATTTTTGGGTTTAGGGTGGAAAAACCAGCCTGTACAAAGGAACTGAGGAAGCTGAAGGAAAGGGAATGTTTATTTTGTGAGCTTTTGTTTAACTCAGAGAAACGCTCCAAAATCCTGGTTTTGTGGTGATTTTTGCTTTTAGGGCAAAAGCCAAATCTCAAATGAACAATTTTAACTTGTTGGTTTGGTATCTTTCTTTCAGGTGGTTTCTCCCAAACCAAGACAAGCCATCAGGTGAGTCAAACCTTGATCCCTACTCCCAACTCATGGAATACTTCTCCTGCCTGGGGTGACGTCAACAGGGAACCCTCTGAGGCTGAGCACAGGGAATTCCCCCTCCTGTGCTTTTGTCCTGGGTAGAAAGCAAAGATGATGCTCCTTGGGGAACTTTGGGTTCCTCTCATGGGATGTGCTGCCTTCGGGACAGTCCCTCACTCAGACAATCCCAGATCTGATGGGACTTTAAAGCCCACCCCATTCCAGCCCCTGCCGTGGGAAGGCTTTTCCTTGGGAGCTGAGAGTGGGACACTGCTCCAAGGCACAGCCCATGGAATTGGCTTTTCCCGTGTGTGCTGCTGCTGGTTTTGTAGGTTCCTGGATTCCTCGTGTGAGGATGGAAATCCTCATCTCCCCCAATGCAGGGCACAAAAGGAGCAGGAAAAGCAGGTGTTGAATGATCCCACTGAAATGTCCATCAGCAGGAGAGGATTTGAGATGGGCAAGAGAGGGAAGGAGGCCTTAAAGAAAGAGATGGATTTCCTGCATCCAAATCAAGGAACAGCAAAAAAAAAACCAAAAAAGAAAACCCCACCAAGTTTAATCCTGTCCCAGACAAGGTCAGCAGGCACCACGCACAAATAGCTCGGGCTTTGATTTGATCTGCCCCTTCCTAAAAGTGGAAGGTGAAAATATTGCATCCAAGTGTGTGCTTTGGGAACAGGCAGCAGGGGAGAACCGAAGGGGGGAGGAAGAAAGGGTTGTTTAATGTGGATATATGACCCCAGCGAGTGGCTCGGACATTGTTAGATCTGGCAGGGATTCAGACATCTGCCAGGGAAGGGGGATTTTGTCAGGAGGAGTGGGAGAGACGCAGCGAGAGCCTCGCAGCGTTCTATATCTGCCCGCAGAACACTTCCTCTTTAAAATTCCCTTACTAAGCTGGGCTCCTGGATTTTATATTCAGCAGCGAGGTCCCCGCCCCCCCAGCCCTCCCCACCCACCGCCACCCTGGCTGCCTTTAACTTGTTAAGTTTGAAAGATGATCCAGAGCCACGCTCTGCTCTGCCAGGCAGCCCCGTTTAAGGCCAAGATTAATGCAGAGCATTGGTGCAGTCGTGCCGCAGTGCTGCGTGCTCGGAATACGAGATGGAATATGGGGGGAAAGGCCACAAATGTGCCTGGATTCCCAGTTTACACAAGTCTCCTTAGCAACTTGTCTGATTATTTTCTTCTTTTTTTTTTTTTTTTTTTCCATACGTGTGCGTCCCAAATCTCCAGCGAATAAAACATTCCCCGAGTTTTTAAACCGCTTCGGTTGATGGTCTTGGTGTTGTTTTGCCTTTTCCTTTTGTTAAATTAGTGGCTTCATTTTAATTTTTTCATTTTTTCCCCTCCCCCTGGAGAGATTCCCCCCCTACCCTCTGAGAAGGATGGCACGGGGGCTGGGGGTGGGGGCACTGGGACAGTTTTCATTGTGACTTCCCCAGAGTTGGTTCCTTTCCAGTTGTTCACATCTCAGCATGTGGAATTATTGTGCTTTCTCCCGATTTGCCACAGAATTGGCACTAGCCTGACATTGTTACTCATTGGAATTGTATTTGGAGCCGGGCTGATTTTCTTTTCTTTTTTTTTTACTTTTATTTTTTAACTTATTTATTTTAATCACCCACATTTTTTTTTTCGTTTTTAATTTCATAACAACCCCTTTGATTTTACAAACAATATATTTAACAGTCTATAAAATGGAGGAGAGGAGGAAAAAAATCCCCACCAGGGAGAGAGGATTGTGGCAGTCTGTCCCTGAATCCCATATTCCCCTCCCCGTGCCATTTTTTTTTAGTTGCCTCCTGAAGAACCCCCTCCCTCCCCATAGGAGGGAGTGGCCTTTTAGGGATCAAGGTACGTTGGATTATTTTTTTTCCCAGTTTGTGTGATACTTTATTAATAGCATGGGGCAAGAGAGAGGCTGCAGGGTGGGGAGAGCAGGGGAGGAGGGTGGAGAGAAGCAGAGTTCTCCTCCAAGCCCTGTACCTTGAAATAACTCAAGGGGAAAAGAGTTGCAGCCACACTTGAGTTGTTTCAAAATCTTCCTGGGTGCTTTTACTTTTTCTTTTGCTTCTATTTTTTTTTCCTTCCAAGGGGAGGGGGTAGAAAAAGGAAAAAAATAAAAAGAAGAAACTGAGCCAAAAAACATTTTGAAGGCTTGATCTTGGCTTCTATACAAACAGATGTTGCCTGTCATTCCGTTGTTAAGCAGGCAGCAGATTGGAGCAAGCAGCAGCAGTTTAGGGGGAACTGCAGCAGAACTGGAAAGTGGGAGATACAGAAATATAGAAATATATTTTTCTTTTATTTTTTCCTTTTTTTTTTGTTTGATTTTTTTTTTTTTTTTTTTTTGTTTGTTCTACACATAAATATTTTCCCCCTGGAATTATCTCTAATTACAACCCGTCTCTCTTCAATTTTTTTTTAATTCAATTTTTTTTTTTTTTTTTCATGGGCAAAACAACCCCAAAACCAAATGGAAAATCAGTAGGAACTTCCACCCAAATTCTACCAAAGCAGCTATTTTTTTAGGGCTGATTTTGAGAGCTCTTTTTTGCTTGTTCTTTCTCACACGTGTAGGGAAGGGGGTTCTGTTGGAAATGCTTTGGCATTCTCGGTAAGTGAACATTTGCCATCAGTCAGGTCAGGGATTGCAGGGATTTTGGGATTCTCCTTGCTGCTGGCCCTGCTGTGCAGCTCCAAGGCCTTTCTGCCTCCTCTCCAAGTTTTGGGAAGGCTGCAGGAGCAGAACCTTGCTGAAATTCTCCCGGAGCTCTTTTGTGCTGCTGTGGGTTTCATCCCCCATCCTTTTGATGCTCTCCGATTTTTTCCTCCCCACTCCCTTTTTCACTTCTCCCCTCTGATTTAATCGCTGCCTGGATGGGAGGAGAGAGGAAACCGAAACGCAGCGGGCTTTGAGCCGAAGGAGTTAAAAGTTTCTTGGCACCAGAGCAGCAGTTTAGCAACAGATCAGTTCATTTAAATGAAAGAAATCACAGCCCGAGCCATCTGATTTTGAAATTTCACATCTTCTGCTTCCACTTTAGAACAAAGCTTCTGTTTTTCTCTCCCCCTTTTATTAACTCACGCTGCTTTTGTTCTAGACTCGGTGGGTTTGCACAGAAACTTTGGGCTCGGGTTGGGTTTTCCCTTAAAATGTGAAATTGGGGGGTGCCTCCATCATCTCCTGCGCACCCAGCAGCTGGTGGCAGGGCTGTTTGCTCTTTGGGAGCTCAGAACAGCTCCCATTTTTGGGATAAAGGCACCTCAGCTCTGGGAAAAGGAGCTGTGTCCAGCGGGGAACTGAGGAACCCAGCGGGGATTTTCCCTGCCCACATCTGGAGTTTGTGTCCCTCCAACATCTGCAGCACCCAGTGGCTGCTCAGGGTTCCATTATCCTGCACTTGGTGGTGCACACAGAGCATGAACCCCGTCATGATTTTAATATTCCGGCCCGAGAAGGATCACAAACAACTTTTTTTGTTGCTGTTTGTTCATTTAAATGCGCTCGAGCCTTGGCACCGCTCCCGGGAGTTTTGTTTCTACGTCAAGGAAAATGAAATAAATCAACTCCTCGGCGGAGAAGTTGGGGATTTTAAAAATAATAATGGTTAAAAAAAATTTAAATTTAAATAAAAATTTTAAAAAATTTTAAAAAATTAAAAAAGAAAAAATAACGGAAAAAATAAAAAGAAAAAAAATTAAAAATTAAAAATTGATCTGTTGACGAATTATAAAAAAAATTTGAAAATGAAATTCAGTGGCTTACGCTGAAGGAATGTGTTTGGAGGGAGCTGGACAAGAGGTTTTTCCGTGGAGCTTCTTCCCGGTGGCATTGCATCCAAGAAAGGCTGGGATGTTTGGGAATGGGTGAATCCTGTCACGGAAAAAGGGTGGGGTGGGCTGGGAGGACGTGTGCGGGGGGGAATCCTTCTGTCAGGAGGCTGCTCCCCCATCTCGCCATCCCTGCACCCCCTGGCGAAACCCTCAGAGGGGAGGAACGGCCTTGAGTGGATGAAAGATCGAGGTGGTGGTGCTGAGAGGGGGGAGAGGTGTCAACCTCCACCTCTGCCGTGGGTCTGGCTGGTTTTGGGTTTTGTCCTTCCCTGCTCTCCTGGCGCTGGGGGAACGCCAGCGTCGGGAGCCGGCCCGTCCCCCTCAATATTGGGAATATTTCTGTGGGTGTCGTTGTGGTTACATCACAGCGCTCTCCTTCCTCATCTCCATTCTTGTGCAAAATTCAAATAATTCCCCCCCTCCCCGATAGCAGCTGTGCATGGGGGGGGGTTTTTTGGTTTTTTTTTTTTTTAAGTCGCTCTTTAACGTTGCGAAAGGAACAATAAAATGAAAGGCAAAACCGGCATCTTAAAACTTGGCAAGTGAAAGCAGCTTGGACTGGCAGCCAAGAATCCTGCTGTGGTGCAAAAAGAATAGCATCCACGGAGCCACCACAACCCGGGGCTTCTCCTCTTTTCACAATCGCGTCGGCACCGAGAAATAATTATTCCTTGTATCACTGTTAAAAGAGTCAACAAGCTCAAAAAAAGCTTGCTTGGCGAACCTCCTCCAAAGCAGGTAACGATGCTCCTCTTTGATTCTGCTCGCTCCAGCTGGACTTTTGGGATGAGGATCTGGAGAGGAGAACTAATCACTTGCAGGAGTTGGTGCGGGTTGCTGACTGCCAGGGAAGGCGTTCGCCTCGCCGTTGCTTTTCTTTTCCTGAATGGGTTTGGTGGGAATGGGACTGGCAAACTTCTGGAGTGGTTGTGTTACAGGGGATGTTTTATTTCCACGGGGGGGAGAGCGCGAGTGGGTTGAGCCAAGGTGGAAGACGGAAAATAATCGTCCAAAAAAAATTTAAAGATGAGGATGTTGGGAGGTGGGGAGTCATTTCTCTCTCGTAGGAGCTTGGCTGTTCCTTTTGCTCCTAAAGCTGTAGCCTCTGGGTGTAGGATAAACAGCATCCATTCCTTGAAAATATGCCATGAAAATATCCATAAATATTTTGTCTTCCAGAATACGTTCCCGAGGAGTTGGGCCTAGCAATATGGCAGCGCACGTTCCATAGGAAATCCTGCAGAATGCTGCTGCTGCTGAGGTAATCTGGATTCTCAGTCAGTATCTCCCTTTTCCTTCTCATTCCTTAAAATTATGTCAGGCACAGAAATCCTTCAAAAGTTGCTTTTTGAAGCTAGGATAGACTGCATGTGTGTGTGAGTATATATATAAATATATATATATATGTTCATAGGCCTAATTACCTTGGGGTTAAAACTGGGGAGGAAAGAATGGGAATTATTTCACAGTTGTGTTTCTTATTTGCCTGAATTTCGGGGCAGAAGGATGAAATGGCTGCAAGCAGCTTTTTGCTCAGGCACACAATGCATTCCGTAGTGATCGATTTCCCTGGACAGGGCATTTCTGCTTTGTGGTTTGCAAGAAAACCACCCACAGACCAAACCCCAGTGTTAGATCTTCAGAGATTTTATTTCTCCATATTTCCCTCTATATTTCTTTGGATATCAATCTCTAAAATAACAGCTTATATTGGGTGGTTACTGACAAAAATATTTTTGGCTGTCCCACGTACCAGAGCCTTGTTGATCCTCTGATCACTGATATTGTAAAATTAATAATGAAACAAAGTGTGCTCAAAGTGTGAGGATCTGAGAAACCTAAACATAAAATCCCTTAATGTGCAGGTTGAAACTTTTTATTTGTAATCTCAGCATTCGAGGCAAATACAGGCTGATGCTGATTGATTTGTTTGCCTCTGATGGATTTTCTGCCACTGTGTGTATGTTCATCAGGTTTTCACAAGGTACAGTAGCTCTGGGATTAATCAATGGGGGGAAACGTTTCCAACCCCACATCTTGGCAAATCCATGGCTCTCTTTCAATCCCCCTGAATATATTGGATACAAGTGAAATTCCTGTTTAAAAAGCAGCAATCATTAAAAAAAAGAAAAAAATCTGCATTTTTCAACAAACAAAACTGTTGCTTTGCTGCTGCATTTATCAATTTGCTGTCTTAGAGCTTGTGCATGGGTTTGTTTTCCAAAAGGAGCAGGTTGGTTCCTGGATATTTGTAATTTACAGCCCACAGGTGCCATGGAATGCCATCCCTGTGCCCCGTTCCTGCAGGGCTCTCAGGAATGCAGGGGGGCACAATCAATTTTGTAGTGGGGATTTCTTTGGAGCTTTCCCAGGAATGGCTCTTGCTGCTTTTCCCTTTTTTCTCCCTTTTTTTCCCCCTCTGAGCGAGGCTCTGGTGATGGATCCCAACTCTCCTTGTTCCCTTTTGTGCTGGAAAAGCCAATCAGGTGGGGAGTGGGAGGTGCAGCAGGAAAAGGGTGGATTTTCCCAACAAATCCCAGATTTCCTGGAGCATGTGCAGGGCTCCTCGAAGGTCTGGCTCTGGGTGTCCCCTCCAGGCAGGGCTGGGGACATTTGTGCCATGCAAAAACCACCCAAATTTTACAGCCAGGTTTCTTTCATGGATTTATCGCAGAGAAAGGAGATTAGCCCAGGAATAATGGGAAAGAAAAAAAAAAAAGGTTTTGGAAATAGACAAAGTGAGGAAAATGTAACCTCATGATGATTTCAGTGAGATCATCTCACGTAAAATAATCAAGTATTTCTCTGCCAGAGCCATTCAAATTAGCTCACTTCATGCACATAACTGAATGTAAAGAATATTACATGTCAGGTTAAGCTTTTTTTTTTTTGACTGTCCTGTTCTATAACATTTCTAAATCAATATTTCTTATCTCAAAAATTGCACACAAATATAAACCTTCTATAAAAGCCATATAAACCTTCTATTATAAACCATGCCATATAAACCTTGTATACCACATACACCAAACCAAACCTTCTATAAACCATACCATACAAACCTTCTAGTAAACTTTAAAAAATTCTCTCCAAATGCATTTCCCACAATTCAAGTTAAAAAAGAATATACTGAATATAAAGAAAACATTCTGCCTGATGCAGTTTTGAACAACACAGTGAGGCTGAGGGGAAAATTCCCAGTTACAGGAAGAAATCCTGGTGCACCCAGCTACAGCTGACCCTAAAATTGTACCTTTAGGCCCTGTTGGACAACCTGGATTTTAACCTCAGGTTCCCTGCAATAAATGAGCTTTGTGGTGGAGGGCTGGGGTTATTTTTGGCCGGGTAACATTTGTTGTGTTCCATTTGCAGCTCTGTTCCCAAGGAGGGCACAATCCCTGCCCCGCTCCAGCCTTGAGCACTGCAGGCACTGAGTTTTCTCCACCCCAAAATTCCAAGCCAAGGATTTTCAAAGATGCTGCAGCACGAGTTTTGGCTGCTGAAAACTTTGGGAAAAGCTGGATGCTTTTAAGGTGAGTGTCAGCATAGGAATGTGAAGTTGGAGGATGAATTTAGATAACCTTTGGGCAGATGGTGAAAGTTTAACGTCTATAATAGGAGTTTCTTGCCACCCAGCAATTCCAAATAAAGGAAAATTGTATTTTATAATTGCATATTTACTAGGCTGGAAAGGTTGAAATGATTTATTTTAAGAACCTGCACCAAAAAAAAAAAAAAAAAAAAAGAAGAAGAGGGAGAATTTTCTAACAGCATCCAAATAGCAAAATTCTTTCCAAGTGTTGCCTGTTTTGATTTTACAGAGGATAATATTAACTTGCATTAATGTGGTTTGTTTCCTGAAGGAAAAGAAGTGAAAAATTGGTGGCACTTTGAGCAAGTGATTTTGTCCACCAGCTCCATGTGGAGCTCACAGCCAGGCTGCTTTTCCCCACCAATAAAATGGGAAATATTCCTTCCACGGGAAAGAAAACTTGGAAACCTCAGGGGAAGGAGGGGACGCCTCCTGCTTGCGGTGGCAAAACTTCCCTTTTCAAGCTTTATTAGAAAAATCCTAAAGAACTTTTATATTTGTCTGTGTGGAAGAAATGCAGGGTTGAGGTTAGGGGGAATTGCCAGCTTGTTCAGCAGAGTGACAGGGGTTTTGTTTTTTGCCTTTAAAAATAGAATTCAAGTCGAACCCCAGCCCAGTAATGACTTCTCTGAAAGTTAAAACAACTCTCAGGCAGTTGTTTCTTCTGCCTGCTTCAGCCAGGCTGCCAGAATGGAAACAACTTTTTGCAGGGTGGGGGGATGGCTGTGTATTGGAATTCTGTTTGTATCCCAGAATTTTGCTGTTGGATCGTTTCCTCCCCTGTTTTAGTGATATACCTCCAATGCTGCTTGTTCATTTAATTCCTGTTGCCCTCAGTGCTGTGTCATCACCAGAAATTCTGTCCAGCAAAGTGCTTGTGAGGAAGAAACACAGATCAGCTTTATTTTGGTTGGTTTAAATTTTATTTTATTTTATTTTGCTGATTTTCTTAAGGCTCCCACGGGAGTGCAGGAATCTGTGGCTTTATGTCCTAACAAAATCAATAATCCACTCTGCCCCCCACCCGCCAAGGAGGGGCTTTGAGAGAACGAAGGCTCCTGGCTAAAACTCAGAAATTCCACTTGCAGAAAGTTTTTTCCTCTTTCCACCCCCCCAAAAAGTGACCCCAAAGCTGTCAGTGCCAGCAGGAATCCCTGCCTGCTGCCACAAACCCGTAGATCCGAACTTGTGCTCATATTCCACACAAGCTTGTATCTATAGGTCTGGGGCTGGCTGGCAAGAGCACCCTGGGGTGCTGCTGCACTCCACCTCCAAATATTCTTCACTCTCCCCTCCTTTTTTCCCCCCTCCTCCCTTTTTTATTTTTATTTATTGTTATTTATTTTTATTTAGAGGGATATAAAAGTGGATTTGCAAATCTCACCCTGCATTTACCAGCTCAGCTTTCAGTGCTCAAATCCCCTCGTGCTTGGGGGCTTTGCTTGGCTGGTGCTGAGGAAAAGGGGATGGGGGGAGTTGATTTGAAGAAATGAAATCCCACCCGTGGCCTGCCCTGCTCTGGTGATGGGGATGTGATAGGGAGCATTCTTGTGTTGATTCTGGAACAGATAAAATTATTTCATTTCTGAAGTAACATTCTAAAGCAAATTATTCTTTCCTTGCTTAGTTTAGGAATTTGTGAGAGGAACAATCACTTCTCCTCCTTTATATCCAGGAACTTGGAATCTCTTCTCTGACACAGGAGGGGCTTGGCCCTCCAGCTCCTCTCTCAAAAATCAGTTTATTATAGCATCCCATTCCTCCCAATTTCATGGTATTTGTGTCTTTTCAAATAGTTTTTAAGAGAAAAGAATCATGCTGGAAAATCCAAAAGAGAAGTGTAGGGCAGGAAAAACCCATGGAGGCAGGCAGTGCGAAGGCTGCTGTGCAAAAGTAACCTTTAAAGTTGGGAGAGTGGAACAATTCTTTTTGAAGAAATCATTTTTTCAAACCCCAGTGTCCAGATTCTATATGAAAATAATTAGGCTGTAAACTCAAAATAAAGTCTTGACTATTTCTTTCCAGCAGCTTTCAGTGTTAATTCCACCAAAGATTTGCTCTGCATTTCCACTTTTAAATTTCTCTGGTTTGAACTTGGCTGCTTTGACATACGCTGCTGTAGGCCAAAAAAGTTATTTTTTCCCCTCTTTGCTGAATTTCCAGGGTTTTCTATGTGTTTTCTATTTATTATAGAAATTTAATAAAACATTTATAGTAAAATGAAGTCAAGGACATCCAACCACTCTTCCTTTTCCCTGTGAGCTGAAACTAGGATTAAAAATAGGGAAAAAAATTACATTTTGGTGCCTTGTGTGATGCAAAGTTGGGTGTAAAAGCTGATCCTCAATATTCCCCAAATGTTTGGATGGGAAATCAAGGAATAAAAGCTGATGAGTCGTTTCCAGCAGAACTTTTGCCCCTGGACTGTTCTGTGGTGGGATTTTCCAGAGCAGGCACCTGGAGTCAGGCTCTCCTTTGGGATTTGGAGGGTGGGATGAGCAGGGGCTCACCATGGAAGCAGCAGGAGATTGGGACAGTAAAAACTGGTTTTCCCAGAAGATCTGTGAATAATCTGGGCTGCTTTGGGGTTGGTTTTTTAAATGCTGTGAATGTTCATCAGCTTGGATTCCCACGTGAAGGGAAACCTGGAGTTTAGTCTGAGTTCCAAGGAGAAATGAGCTGGTAAAACCCAATAAAATCCATATTTCTGGAGGGTGGTTTCTCCTCCGTTTGGGGTAGAATGGGCTGAGAAAAGCCTGGAATTTGTCAAGGATGTTCTGGGGAATTGGGTCAGATATGTCCCAAAATGAGGTACCACCATGTGCTTTGACCTTTTTTTAAATTAGGAAATCAATACTTGAATAATAAAAGAGGAAAGAAGAAACAGATTTCTTTTTCTTCTCTGTAAAATATTTTGGTGCATTTTCCCTCTGAATAAGTTGGGACCTGCTAATCAATATCTGATTTTTTTTTTTACCTCCTTTTGGGGAGAGGCTTGGCCTAAACACAGCTGGGTGCTTAGAAAGGAAACTTGAGAGAAGTGGCAGCAGAAGTGGGGTGAGCTGCTGGGAGGAGGAGCAGGGAGTTATTTCTGAGGCTCAGCATGTCTGCTGATTGCTCCTGGCTTTTTGGGGTCAGTTTGGGGTTTGCTGTGGCCTCAGCTTGGTGGGACAGGCTCGAGGAAGATTTTGCAGGGAGGATGGAAGGACCAGCAGCTCAGCTTCCCTGAGCTCAGCTTATCCAACAAACCCAATAAAACCTGTTCTCACTGAGGTTCAAAGTGCATTTCACTTTAATGTGCATTTCACATGCTTGTTGGTTGCTCCTGGTTTTTTGGGGTCAGTTTGGGGTTTGCTGTGGCCTCAGCTTTGTGGGACAAACTCAGAGAAGCTCTTGCAGGGAGGATGGAAGGACCAGCAGCTCAGCTTCCCTGAGCTCAGCTTATCCAACAAACCCAATAAAACCTCTTCTCTCCGAGGTTTAAAGTGCATTTCAGTTTGCCTCTCCCTGCTCTTTTTGAGCTGCAGCCTCCCATATTCTGCCCCTCTGCTTTCCAGCCTTTTGAAAAGCGCTGCATTGTGTTCCCAGCCTTAATTTGTGTTTCTTTGCTGCTGCTTGTGTTCCACTGCACTTCGCTGAGTTCTCTGGTGAAACTGGAGTCTGACAAAGTGATGTGGAGAACCTTGAAATGTGTCTTCCTTTTAGGATGGAGGAGAATAATTGGAGCCTGTGCAGCTCCTACCTGTGCTTACAAGGGTTTTTTAAAAATTATTATTATTTGCCCCTTTTAAAAATATTATTAATTATATTATTTATTTAATATTTATTATTATGAATATAACTCATTGTGCATTATATATTCCATATAATATAATATAATATATATGATATATCATATATTATATATAATATACAAGATATATAGTATGCAATATTTAATATACTAGATATTAAATATTAAATATTAAATACATTATATATTATATACAATTCATTATAATTTTTTCTATTCATTACATTCAGAGCCCTTCACCCACCTGGAGGCTGCAGGGGCACTCAAAGAGGCACTGCTGGAATCAAACAGAGCACCTGGGCATGGGAATTACCCCAAAATGTCCCAATATCCTCTGCAAAAATCAGTGCCTTCATTAATGCAGCTTCTTTCTCTGGAAGTGGGCAGAGTGGCTGCTTTAGAGGTTAAAAACAAAACCAAAAAAACCCCTCCTGTGTGGCTGCATTTGCATCTGGGGAGGTTTTGCTGGGCTTGTTTCCTTTGGCCAGAATTAAAGCAGCAGAAATTCTTCTCTGAGGAAGCAAAGCTTTCCCAAATATCTTTTTTTTTTTTATCTTTGGTAAATCTTTTCCTCCCTCCAAATATCACATGCCATTTCTCACTGGCCATTTCTGGCCTGAGAACACCTGTAAGGTCTGCTGCAGCCTCGTGGTGCCCGCTGAGGGATGCAGAGGGAATGGATTTGTGTGTTCCCTCCTTTCCCAGCCTGGTGAGGAGCGCAGTGAGCAGAGGAGCACACAATAGCACTCGGGTAATTAGAATAACCATATGCAGTGGCAAATGGGATTCGTGATAAGCAGAATGGAATTGTGTACCCTGGAATTTGAACCGTATCCAAATACTCTTATTCAGATCATCAAATCTGGTTAAACTCTTAAAAGGCAGATACATTTCAGTATTCTGGTTATTTCAGTAATCTGATTTTTTTTTCCCCCCACCTCCTCCCTTTCTTTTTGTTTATTTGCTTCTAATCAGTAAGGGAGGAAATAAGGGAGAAAATAAGGAGAGGATATCCAGGGCACCCTTGAGCCAGGAATGCTCCAGGGGCGTTGCAGGAGTGGCATTCCCTGAGCTGGAAGTCTCCAGCTGGGCTGGGGAGCCTGTGGTTGGGTTTTTGCAGGTTCATGGTGAGATCCAGCCCCAGCAAT